TGTGGGTGGTTTTTTTGAGGTTTTTGTGATTTATTTTCTTTAACATGTAATTAGGAGGTTTGTGGAGTTTTTTATTGATCAGTTGGTGGCTACATCAATTATTTTCCTTTCCTTCCTTGCTTGGGCTTAATATCATACAATACATGTACTGCAAATGAAGCCAGGCACATAAAAATGTGGAAGGAAAATCAGGACTGGTGGCTATGATAGTCCTGAATTTATGACTTGTACAAGCTCCGAGGATGTTATCTTTGTGCAGGTGCTTTCTCTGAGCAGCACCCAAGATGCTCACAATGGGTATCAATCCCTTCTCTCTGAAATCAATGATCCGAACACCAAATATATCCTCAGAACTGCGAACCGCCTCTATGGAGAAAAGACCTTGGAGTTTCTCCCAGTAAGTAGCCATTATAGTTGTGGCATTTCCTAGTATAATGCACTTGCTACCTGTTTCCTCTGGAGGTCAAAGGCAGGCTTTGGGGTTTGCCTTCTGACCGATCTGAGCTGAGAGCCAGGAGTGCAGTTGATTCTGACAGAGCCTGGTGTCTGAACCTGGTAGAGAATTTAATTTTAAATAACTCATGACCTGAATATGCCAAGGCAGGGTAAAATCCATCAATCTGTACACTTGAGGGTAATAAGATCCATTCCAATATTTGGCTGTGGGATGAATGGTTGCTATCTCTTTTAGCAAAAGTCTGATAAACAAACTTATAAAAAAATGTTACATCCTTGAAGCGTAAAATAAAAACAAGAAAAAAAATAGCCATATCATTTTCAATGAGTTTATGTAGAAGCTTGTAGTGGAATGCATAAGACATTTGATTTAATAATAATGCCTAGTTCAAAGAAGTGGTATAAATCCTAGCAGGAACTTGTCAGCCAGAACTTTCATGGCTCTGTATGAAGCAGGTGAAGGAAAGCAGGCAGATTTCCTTGGAGAATGTAAGACTCACCTGTGTCTGAATGAGAGAAAATCTCTTGCTGAAAATCTGTTGTGAATGTCCCTGTTAGTCTTTTATAGAGTCGAGTCAGAAATCCTACCATGCTGGCCTGGAGCAGATGGACTTCCTGCATGCTTGGGAGGATTCCAGGAGGCAAATCAATGGCTGGGTAGAGGAAAAGACTGAAGGTGAGTGCTTTGCCAAGTGTCCAGTTGTGTTTAATGGCAGCCATGGTTTAGGTAAACACCTGCTTCAGGATGTAGGGTTATGAATTCAAAGAATTAAAATGCTGATGTTTTGCTGTGTCTGGTACATAATTCTCTATTATGTATTAAATGCAGGTGAGATAATATCTTGGCTAATAATTAGATCCATGTCAAGGTATTAATTAATATGTCTTTTTCCCTTATATCATAAAGGTAAAATTCAGAACCTGTTGGCTGAGGGGACTCTGAATTCTTTCACCAGACTTGTGTTGGTGAATGCCATCTATTTCAAAGGCAACTGGGAAGAGCAATTCAATAAAAAGAGTACCACAGAATGGGAATTCCGAATTAATAAGGTATGATGTGCTAAAATGCTGACCATACAGTGTTAGGTGGATGTTGTCTGAAATGACCACCTTTAAGAAGAAATTAAATCTTTCAAGCAGGGTTCCCTTGGGTAGGCTGTAGGAAATCCCTGATGCTCTCTCCCTTTCATATGAACACTCTGTTTGCTGAGTTTCTCTGAACTTTCACATCATTCCTAGAACCTTTGTAATAGCACAAAGACAGGTGTGAAAGCTTGTGAACCGAAGTCTTCTTCAGTCAGAGCTTTCCTGCTGCATTTCTGCCCCTGAGCCAATGCAAAAGGAATGGCAAACAAATTTCCTTTCAAGACTTGTTTTCAGAAGTCGATCAGTGCTCTTGAGGAAGACTTGGCCCCTGGCATGGGCAGGCCATGGCTGCCCCTCAGGATCCCCTGCAGCTCTGTGTTGGTCTCCAGGTGTCCTGAGCAAGAACTGGTCATGTGCCTTCCTTAACTGCCTGGCTTTTGAAGCAAGCATTGTGGAAGATTGAAGCCCTCATGCCTGTCTTGCAACTGTCCCTCCCCCTCAGTGGTGAAATAAATCCAAGAATGCTTTTATGTGCTACTAGCACTTTTAAACAAGGGTGTGTTACTGCTCACCCTGTACTCTCTACAAGAGCACTTTAGAGACTGCTGGAGTAGCTTGGTTCTTGACACCTTGTCTTCAATGAACAATTGGAAATCTGACATGTAAACTGAGTCCTTAAGCAAACTATTTTATATCCTGTTCAGTTACAAAGAGTTACTTTGACATCCCACGAACCTCTCCAACATCCTGTGAAATTTCTCCTGTGACTCTTGCTCTTCTTATGACTCACTGGATGATCTTCTATGACTGTGTGTCTTTTCTTCTGCTTATCTATCCTTTTTAGGTGTCATTGCTGCTGCAGAACAATTTCTGACGTATTCTCTCTGGGCATTATTCATGTGGCATTACTTTAATAACAAAAAGCTACTTATGTGGCAGTCTCACATAGGGAAGGGAGAAAGCAATGAAACTGAGAAGAAGGAAAAGAATGATGTAAACAATAGTAGCTGATACTCCATGTGGAAATGGAATAAGATAGCATTGAAGGAAAATGAGAATAAAACCTCTCCCTTTCTTACTATAGGTATGACTTTTAAGAATTCAAATTAATACTCAAATTTTCTTGGGAGTTGTAGGATATATATTTTAAAATATTTTCAGTCTTTGTTACAGCCCTTACAACCACATGGACTAAAACTACATATATTGATATGACTTATTCATTTATAGGGAAGAACAATGTCCATGCTTACTAATGGATCACTTTAGTGTTTGTCACTAGTTCTTAAGTGAACAAAAGGATAAGGACACGTATTTGCCTTAAAGGAATCTTCTCAGACATTTCTACATTAGTAATTAAAAACTAAATCTTAGGATTTTTAGTTATTTACAAAGGCCAGCATGGTGTCTGTGCTCTTTGGTGTGAGATCAGTTGTCTTTTTCAAATCATTAAAGGCTCTGAGTAAATGGCCACCTGCTGCATATTTTGAGGCCAGCAAAGAAGCTCAACACTAACTATTGACATCTCTGTATTTCTAGAATGAGACCAGACCTGTGCAGATGATGTTCAAGGAGGCACATTTTAACATGACCTACATTGGGGACTTCCAGACCAAAATCCTTGAGCTCCCGTATGTGGGTAATGAGCTGAGCATGATCATCCTGCTCCCTGATTCAATCCAGGATGGATCCACAGGCTTGGAAAAAGTAAGTAGTTGAGCTGAGTGCAAAGACAGCCTGAATCTTTGCAGGGAAGAAAGTCTGAATTTTCCCCCTGCCACCTATGCCAGTGCTGCTCAGACTTGTGGAGGCAGGTGAGCCTACCAAGGCTTTCCCTTGGAGGAATGTACATTGAGGGAGCTGTGATAAGCTTATCTCAACCCTCTCCTGGAGAAATACCCCTCCATCCTCTCTTCTCATGGTGAGCTATCCCACCATGCTTTGGTGACTATGCTGATCTTTATAGCCCATTGGTTTTTTCCCCCCTGGTACCACCCTGGCTTTCCCCCATGAAAGCCGCAGCTTCTGCCCAGTTCAGAAGGGAGGTGCTGTCCCTTGCCACCCTTGACAGAGCTGCTGGACAATAAAAGCTGTCTCTGTGCAATCGCCACACAGCTCTCCTGTCTCTCTACCTCTGAGTCAGCCTGGGATAATCTAGTGAGCAGACCTGAAATCACTTGCAGCCACTGGCTGCCCCTTGCTGAGGTTACCCAGTGGCCAGGGGTCACCAGAGACCCCCCAAAGGCTGTCTCTTGTGGGACCGCTCTCGCTGGGAAAGCCGCGGCATCCCGGGTCAGACCACTGGACCTGGCCTGGCCACCACACAGGCTGTGTGCTGCTCCCGTAGCCAGAGGCTCTGGAAGAAGAGCTGGCCCTGCTCAGGAGCAGAGGTCAGCTGTGGTTGTGGTGAAGGCACAGTGTGGTGATGATGAAATGTGGAGAGGGGGATTTTTGGTGGGTTCTTTGCAAGTCCAGTAGCTTGTCCTGTAGATCTCCTGTGCTGAGCAGGTGGAATGTGGCTCACTGCCTGGAGAGAGGATCACAGGAAAGGGCAGCATCTCTTTGTGGTGAGGGTAGGTTGCAAGTTTGGGCTCTTTGGCACTCTGGGCATGGAGATTATTAATAAAGCTTTCTAAGACTGATGGCAAAGGGTGTTTGTGAGCACACTGTTTCCATGATGCTGCTGACTGACCTGAAGGATGACCATTTGGTAAAGAAATAGAAGAAGTTGGTTTGGTTTCTTTGGGTCATTGTTAGCTATTCTTCTACATTTTCTTTCCCATAAGTAAAAATTAAAAAGCCAAAAAAATTTAAGATAAAACAGAAGTAAACTTGATATGGAGGGGATTGATCCCTATTATAGCTACCAAAAAAAATAATTTTGGTAAAGATCTTGGCAGGAGCAGTATTCTCAAGTGAGAGGTATAACTTGCAGTTTTGGCTTGAGGCACACTAAGAAGGTTAAAAAGCTGCATCTTATGCACTGTGTAAGTAACCCCATAGTCAGTTATTTTGCTTGTATAACACTGACCCAATTCTCACTGTAATTAAGTAAATTTGGATTTTTTTCTTCAGCTGGAAAGAGAACTCACATATGAGAAGCTAATAGATTGGATCAATCCAGAAATGATGGACTCTACAAAGGTGCGGGTGTCTTTACCCAGATTTAAACTGGAAGAAAATTATGATCTGAAACCCCTTCTGAGGAGCATGGGAATGCTGGATGCATTTGATTCAGGGAAGGCAGACTTTTCAGGAATTTCATCTGGCAATGAGC